AGCATAATTCTCAGACAACACAATAATAGAAGCCCTAGATGCTTTGATTGCACTCTCCAATTCCGGTTTCAAAGATAGTCCAGTTTCGATCTCTTCATCGTCCAAAAATGTAGTGATGTTAGCATTGAGGAGCGCCTCATGGAGGTGATTAGTGAAACGAAGACGGGTGTCGATACCCCGAAAACTCAAAAAGACGTCATAATTATGACGACCATGAGCTGTCGTAGAAGATGAAGATTCTTCTAATAGTTCGGAGCGGACAACCATTATGAAGGAAGGTATACTAAGCCAGAAAATACGGGAATGACTTGTGGGTAGGGGTGAAAGGCCAACGAAAAACCTTAAGAACCATAGGTGCCACCCACTGCCGTTTTAGGTGAGTTCGGACTCGATCATTGACAGGAGCCAAAGGGAGGCGCTTCTGGGAGGAGTAGGGTTTATGAGTATATGAAGGTTACTTGATCCAACAAGCAGTGCAGTGTATTTTTTCTTTAATAATGGAACCCCAAGTCTCTGTCAACAAATAAAGAAATTGTTTGGAAATTTACTTATTTAAATGAAAATGTCGAATAGATTTATGGCAACAGACCGTCTTTTAATTAAAAACATTGGTTTTTTATTAAATATAAACATTTAATTAACTTTGGTGACATTATGTCTTTGTAAATAAAGGAAAATAAAAAATTATATATATATATATATATATATATATATATATATATATATATATATACACTAGAACGATACTCGTGCAATACAGCAAGATACATCTTAATTTTAATGTTTTGTTTTATATTTTGGGTCTATTAATGTTATAATGTGATTTTATTTGGTTTTAAGAAAAATAAAATATTTTTATTTTTGAATGAAATATAAATTTGAAGATGCTATAAAATTTTGATAAGAATAAGCAATATTAGTATCAAATTAGCAATTTAAAAGTTCTCTTTTTTGTATAATTTCTTTAATTCAATTTTTATTATAATTTAATTAAGGCCCCCATGTAAATAATAGTGTCGACATGGATTATTCAGAATTCGGGCCCTTATAAATAATGGTGTTGACTTTTGACATGGACAACTTACAAAAAAACAATAATAAGGTCATGTATTGAAAAGGGTTGTTAAAACATAGACATGGAAATTAGACCCGCCCCATTGAATAGCGAGTTAAGTGTTGAGGTTGAAGGAAAGAGACCAACAAGGAAGTCATGGTGCTTGCATACATAAAGAAAGTCAAATCGTCAGCAAGGTTTACTAAAATTCAGTCTATTTTCTCTTCTAAAACTTGGATATTGCATATATGTCATAGTTTAGGAATGAAATTGTCAGCAATTTTGTTGTAGAAAGTATTTCAAACACGTTTTCATGTTATTTCAATCACTTTTGTTTGTTAGTCAAACGAATGACAATTTTGTGGATGTAATGCGATCAAAAGTCTAGTTATATTATTGGTAACTGAAAAATACAGAGATAGAAAGACGTCTTTTGGTCTATTTTACCATGTAAATATCCAATTTATGCAATTTGAATCAAGTAATGATTAATCCTTTGACGTAGGAACTTATCTTTGTGGGCCCCTTTTGAATGGTAATCTCTTGTCTGATCTACAAACTAGAAGCAGAAAAGAATATTGAATATTTTATTAAACGAGGTCGTTTTCTCACTATGTTAATATATTAAGAAAAGCAAATAAAAAAACCAAACATGAAATAATAAAATATGAATATATTAAAGAAAATGAATTATTATGAATATATAAATCCAATACATCTCATTTAAGCTATAAGAAAACTTCAAACTTACGATATTAAGATTTCAGCAAAATTCTCTTGGAGACTTTTGACACAACAAATGGGGGGTATCTTGAGCTTGAAATAGGAGAACAAGGAGGAAATGACCGTGCTTACGTATCCCCTGTAGACATCAAGACGGTCAAATTATGAACGAGGTTTAGTAGCGTAAACGTACTCTGTTTTGTAAGCATTTAAACCTTGAATATGGAACTAGCAGACCTCTCTTTGCATATTTTTTAAACTTGGATATTGCATCCGCCTGTAAAAACTACACATAAAGGATTGAATAATCCTGCCAAAAATATGTGCCTACAGAAAATCAAACATAAGACATTTCATACCAGACATATAGAATCATATCACACTTTACAAGATCCTAAGACCAAAAAGTTTGATAAAAAGATGATACTGAATGGGTGGTGTGACGCAGGAGAATAGAAGTCAAGGTGAGAAGCGTAGGAAAGGATCTAGACCCTTGATCACTTTTAATGTTACCCCAACCCCATGAATTCTGCTTCTTGCAGGAATTGATTTAGTGCATCTCTTTGATCTTCAATTACGATTGATCCAAGGGTGGAGATTCCTTCTTCCCCTTCTTACCATAACTTTCATTCTCATTGGGGACCCAACCCTGGGTGGTGTTATGGTTTTTATTTTATGTATGTTGATGAGAGAATATAATTGAAGGGGTTCCGGAAATAGAAAAAGAGTACCTTAATTAGGTTAGATGCATCACCCCACCAACTATGTTGACTTGCTTTGAGAGAAAGCTCTAAACAGAGGACGTTTTTCTGATGAAAAAAAGGAAGATAAAAAGAAGTAATTAATGCATTTACAACCACTTCCACCAAGTAATAGCTTAGCTGTTGTTGCAGGAAGAAACTGTTGTTTTAACAACTTAATGATGTTGCCTCTGCTTGTGGAAAATCTCCAAGTGTTGGGATTGTGTTGATAGGTCCACTATGAGAAACATGATAACAGATATTTAACATATATTTATATGCCACATACCTACATAATTGTTGATGTAGTTTGTACCAAAAAAGTGCCACCTGTTTAGGTCATATACTCCGGGGGTAGTAGTTTGAAAAGGAGAGAGATCCCCACCAATAATATGATTCCATGACTTGTAATAACCCAATACGTCTTCTTCTTCTTCTTCCATTTTCTTCTTCCCATCGTCATACACAAGACTAATCCCACACTCCAAAACATCCAATGACTTACCTATATGTTCATCAGCTTGCATTACTGTCACTGTGGCAGTAACTTCATCACCATCTTCCATCTCGCTCTTCCCAAACATCCAATGGCTTAGATATACAATAATACCCTCTCTAGTGGACTCAAAGACCCCAAAGCAATTGTATATCCATGTGCGGTTCTTTGTTATGTTACTAATTCTTATTTCACCCAATACATTAAGATACCCCTTTATAGCCATAAACACGATGCAGAAATTCAATCCTTTAAGGTTGTGAGGAGATGATGGGATGGTCAATGATATTGATGACCCCTCCCTTCTATCACTTATCCAATTTGGCATCTCTTTCCCCTCATACCTTGTGCTAAATATCCCAAATTCATATTGCATCTGCCAAGTACAAGATTAATCATCATCAATTGTTCTATGTACAGATTAATCACACAAAGAAGAACAGTTGATGTGAGCAAACCTCGACTTTAGATTCTGTCAGCTGATTTTTGATGAAGTCTAAATTAGTCCACCCCAGACTACGTAATACCTCTTCCTCGACATCTGCCATATCTTCCACTTTAAACATGCCTTCAATTAAAGACCTGCAACCTGTCCACGTACTTAACATGATTGGGGACATTTCTCGATCAAATACAACTTTGCTGATCAAAAGGCTGACACCCATTATCAAGTGTTTTAGTGTAAGTGGAGGATGCTCCAATGTGGTCAATCTATTACAACGGTCAATACTAAGTTTCTCAAGTCTGGGAAGGCCTCTCACACAATTAGGCAGTGAAACAATATTATTTCCATCTAAATATAGCTCCTTCAGCATGGATAGGTTACTGAAGTCCATTGGAAAGGATTCGTTGGACAAACCATTATTTTTAAGTGACAAGCATTCTAATGACCTCGACAAAAAGATCAAAGAGGATCCCAAATCTCTGGGTATAATCTCCACAATGGTAGAGAAAGAGGTTTGAGAGTGTATGGCAAGGTTGTTAGCCATGACCATTTCTGGTAATTCCGTATCCCTCATCTTGATCAGATTTTCACTAAGATTACAACCATCTAGTTTTAGTATTTTCACCTTCTTTAGCATACCTATAGTTCTTAAAATCTTTCCAACCTCATTGCAATAACTCAGATCAATGAGCTCAAGGTGATCACATTGCCAAATTGATTCACAAACCTCAATCAAACCTATGCAATTTGAAAGTAATAACTTCTCAAGTGCAGGGAGTTCGATAAAGCCACAGAGACTATGAAGCTGTTTACAGAAACTTAGATTAAGAATCTTCAATGATCTAAGCAACCGTTTGTTGTCTTTTGAGCACGAGCCAGTTAGCTGTTGAAATAGAGATAAGGTAAAATAATTAGTGAATTGTTTTAACCCAACATAGAAGACTAATATAAATTGAAGCAGATGCTTACCTTTTGCGACTTCCCAGGTCGTTCCGAGTTGCCATACGACATGTCCAGAAATTTGAAGCTGCTATAAGACATGTCAAGGGCAACTAGATTCTCCAATTGCAATTTTGGAGGTATATACTCTAAAGGGAACCCATGCATACACAACCATCTTAATTTTTTAGGGAAGTTCTCATAAGATCCACCGAGTCGCACATAATTAAGTTGTAGTAGCATTAAGTTATCCATCTTACTCAATGCATCTGTTCTCAACTCAACCGAGTCATACATGTTCCCTTTCTCAAGCATTTCCATGTCTAGAACAAGGCCTTTAAGCTTTCTTGTACCCTAAGAAGTAACTGAAATGTCAAATTACTTATTAACCTTATGTTAGTGTAAACAAATATTGTGTGTTACTTAAAAATTTGCACCATTATGACAAGTATAAATGACCTCTTACTCTGTTTTGTTCCAATACATTGAATGACTCTTCATGACACCACAATCGACTACGCTCCTCTGGCATGTCAGGTGATTCTTGGCGTACTATATCTCTTCCCATCTCTTGAACCAATTGATGCATCATCAACTTGTTATTACTATCAATCGAAAGAAGGCATCTATCAACGAGATTCTTGATCCCAAGTACTGTGCGGATCTTACATGCCTTCAATATTGTTTCAGTTGATTCTCTATCTTTCCCAGCAAAAAAACAAGCAATATGCTTAAACAATTCTTTGTCATCTGTAGATGGTAAAGAGTCGAAGCTCATTTGCAAGACCTTCTTAATACGAAAATCAGGTTCATCCTTTAGCCTTTCTAGGCAATCCTCCCATTCAGCTATATTTCCATTACGTAGAGACCTGCCCAAAACTGAAAGAGCCAATGGATGTCCTTTACAATATTTCACAAGCTCTTTTGAAACCTTGATGTAACCTTCCTTCGGACTGCTGCACTTGAAGGCATGAAGACATAAAAGCTCCAGTGACTGAGTCTCATGTAAGGCTTCGAGTAAGTGCTTTGTATGTTTGGGTTGAACTTTAAGGTTGAATAGCTCACACTTTTCTGTCAAAGATGCGTCCTTGGTGGTTATTATGATTTTGCATCCCGGATGAAAACCTTTGTTTCCAAGTAATGCATCCAATTGACTGAAACTATCAACATCATCAAGAACTAGGAACACTTTTTTATGTGCTAGTGTATTCTCGATTTGAGAGGTGTATATAGAAACATCATGGACTTGAATTGAACTTTTATTTGAAATGTCACCACAAATTTGTTTTTGTAAATCAAGCAATCCAGTCAATTTTTCAGCACATCTCCTACTGATATCTTCTACAAAGCTGCTTCTTTGGAATTCACGACAATGCAAGCAAAAAAGATATTTGGCCAAAGATGTCTTCCCAATCCCACCCATGCCTACAATTGTGAGAATTTCAGCACAAGTAGAGGATCCATCTTTCAACCAATAAGTAATGAATTTGATGTGGTGGTCCATGCCGATAAGAAATGGTAGAGTTACTTTTAAGGGTACACCTAATCTACGATGAATTTCAGTAACAATTTCTTGAATGAACTCCGTCTCTTTCCTGAAATTTGAAACATCAATGTGAAAACCAAACAAATCAGATTCATCACATTTTGCTACTATTTTTCAATTATGTTTTTTTTTTTGCCAACTTATGTGATGTTAGAAAGTTGTACACTCTCTTTTGGTCATTAATGAAAATACGAGTTTCTCTCTCATCTTCTAATATTTATTACTTGAAGTAGATGTAGTTTAGTAGCGACTAAAATACCCATTTATATATATATATACGCACACACACATAAGTATGTTATTTTGCTACCTACAGTATCTTACCAAGCTTTCTTTACTTAGAACAAGAAGCACATTTTCTTATTGATTTACTTTGATGATAAAATTCTTCCTACATGTGTGTATGTGTGTGTTTCATAGCTGCGAAGAAAATTGAAAAATCGAAAAAAGAATCGAAAATGATTATATAAATCTTGAGAGAGGGAGCAATAATTAACACATAGATGGTAATAATTAATTAAGAAATATGAGGAAATAATCATTTCAATATTAAATCTCCTGATTATATATGTATCCTAAGGGCACATAATAGAAAAACCTTTCAAACATATTGAAAATAGACAAGAGATGTATATTTATGGAACTAAAGAAACCTATTGAATTGCACACGGTTATGTATTTAAAGTAATGTGTTCAAATTTGGGCAAGAAAGTTGTTACCGATTCTTTGAATTTTTTCCTTTCAAATCAGCAATTTCCATCAGTGCTTCATTCCATAGCTCCACTTTTTTAGCCCAATGACTTCGTTTCTTTGCATTTGTCTCTATCTCCATCCTGTGCTTATGCTTTCTCATAGCAATTCCAAAGCTGTTTTGTTGCTTCCTGACATCGGTGGGCTCGACATGATAGAAGATGGGAATAACAATATGACCGGAGGTCCTCTTTTGATCGAGGATCAGTACCAATTCATCAAGACACCAGGTCGAAGAAGCATAATTCTGAGACAACACAATAATAGAAGCTCTGGATGCTTTGATTGCACTCTTCAACTCCGGTTTCAAATCTTCTCCCGTTTCCATCTCTTCATCGTCCAAAAAGGTAGTGATATTAACATTGCAAAGCGCCTCGTAAAGATGATCGGTGAAATTATGGCGAGTGTCAAGACCCCTAAAACTTAAAAATACGTCATATCTATAAGCATGAGCTGAAGAAGATGAGCATATTTCAGAGAGAACAACCATTATGAATTATGGGAAGGTAGGAATGACCCGAGAGATGAGTAGAGACCTACAGGAGTAGTAGGCTTAATGATTATACAGATAATAATAGATCCAACTAATAATGAATTTATTCAATAATGGAAGCCCAAGTCAAGTCAACAATATAAAAAACAAAGTGTATAGTAAAAACAAACATGAATGAATTTAAAAAGACAAAGAATTCATGATGACATTCTGTCTTTGTAAATGTGAGAAAGATATCATCAGTATCACTTGCCATATTCTCATCATCTCCCAACAACTTAATGGATAGAATTCTGCTATATCTGTGAATGTAGCTTTAAAATTAAAGACAAGATTGATAAATAATATCATAATATGACAGTTTTTCACATACTATAATTGGTAAGAATACAATAAATTGTACGTACATAAGCTCGTTATTGATAATTCATAACTTAAGTCTTATAAAAAGCTCACAAATTACACTGTCAATGTAGGACAGATACAAGATTCACCTAAAATGTATAAATTTAAGTCTTATAAACTTATTGTAACACTTTTAGATAGGATGTTTTTTTTGGTCCTATAGACTTAGGTCCTATAAGCCACTCCATTAGGATATTTCAACACTTTAGGGGTCCTATGTATAAACTCAATTTTGTCGTAGTGACTAAGGGGACGTTCGGTTCATTTTAAGAATAGAGATGGGAGCAAAAATAAATATGATTGAGAATGGATTTGAATATACTCATTACATTATTTTGCATCATTGATGCTTGGAGATAAATAAATACATAAAACATCCAAAATTGGCAGTATCTCCCTCTTTCTAGACAGATTGCACATATCATCTAAAATTGAACAGACTTTGATCATAAGCAGATTAAGATTATCAAACAGATTGAAGAACATTGAACAGAATGGAGATGTAAAAAACCAAACAAAGATGAAGAAAATCGAACAAACATTGAGCAGATTTCGATTATTCTATTAAATTAAAACTTTAAACAAAAGATTTTGTTAACTTTTTCCATTTTCAAAAAGAAAAAGAAAAAGAGAACAATTTAAACTTGTTTTGAAAAATAATTCTAAACAGACGTGCATGTCTCATGGTTCAGCCGTGGAGAATACAATTTTGAAAAATACATATAGAAATTATGGGTTTTTAACCCCGTGATGCAAATGTTAATCTTGGTGGGGTTCCATGAAACAATATGTTGGAAATGCTCTAAGATGGTTAATRGTAATTATTATACATTTATTTAACTATACCTGCAGCTTGAGCCTCCCTCCTCTTCCGCCCTCTTGTTCAATCTGCGATGTCAATACCCAGTTTATGCAAGTTGTATTAGTAATGATTAATTCTTGAGATCGGAACTTATTTTCGTGGGCTTCTTTCGGTATTTGATAACGTGAAATGTATATTTATGTTGTTTTGACTATGTACTCATGGGGACATTTTTGGTGGAATTTTGTACAGAATGTGAGATAAAAGGTAAATGTATGGATATTTTGAAATCCTTTAGTGGTAATATCATGTTTGATCTAACTTGTACAAATTACTGATTGCATGAGAAGGAGATAAGATTGAATCTCAACCAAATAAGAAACTACACATAAATTAATAGAAGAGTAAAATACAAATTTCGTCCATGTGGTTAATACAAATTTTTCCCAAATGCAATCATTACAGATGCAGTCATCATAACTTCACTTTTATTATGGATTGGGTCCCTTGTCCTAACTCCACTAATCATTGCTTTGCTAATTCAGGGGTAATATCGTCTTTTTACCTTTTATCCTTTACAAAATATATACAAGTTTTATATATATGTGTGTGTGCGCGTGCGCGCGCGTGTGTGTGACTACAACTCATCGTTGCCCCCAAGAAAGTCCATGCCACCCTCCCTCCTCCCCAACTCTGGCCACTCACCACTGCCTCCACCTTACCTCCCCTTTTCCTCTCGGGCACTCTCTCTATTTTGATTTGTTCTCAGTAGTGGCTGCCGACCAAATCAAAGAGAGAGAGCAAAAACGTTGGCTTGTAACTTGCGGCTTCCCTCATCACCCATTCCCCTCACACACCATAACACCAAATGGGTTTTTTTGGATGTCAACAAAATGAACAAACAAAAGCAAGCAGCATTCTGACCTTGCATAATTAGTATCATCCTTATGAACCTTTTGYGGCAACCCAAGATAAAATTTCATTTTTTGCTGTCTTCACTTTTCAACTTAATCCAACAGCTTCACTACGGGATATGGGATGGGTTTTGTTTTGAAATCGATTTGGATTGGATTTGTTTGAAATTGATTTATTACATTGAGYTCTGGTGAGTTGTAGAATTGACTTGGTACAATGAGCAAGGCTTGAGAAACAAATTTCTCTGTTTTGGTGAGTTCTTTTGCACCCATCAAACTGTAGAAATTTGTATCAGGTATCATCATCATCCTAATTGCTATAAACAAAGCTCGGAATCATCTGCAAAAAATGCGATCATGTCGCAGGATTGTTCGAAAACTGGCTCCAAAAAGGCAATGGTGGTCGTACTACTTCCAAATTTCTCAACCCCTCTAGCGATCATATAAGTGTTATTAGCTTCCACCACCACCATAACATCTCTAGTTCTCTACCGAACAATGGTGAAACAGTTTTTGAAATCTACCTACACAGTCTTTCTTGAACTTGCAAATTGAAGCTATGAAATAATGCGATCGATCGCAGAAGAGTTTTTGTTATTGGATTCACTTCTTCACCAGAGAAGAGTGCGACCCCAGGGATAGGGATGGTGAAGAATTGGTGGGGGTTATAGTTTATGTTCTGTTTTTATTGTTTTTAAATGTTTTACATCGTTGTACATAAGCTTTATGAACTTGTACAATAAAAACTCAGTCTAAAAGACAAAAATACCCCTCACTTCAGAAGCATGTGAGGGGGTTAACAGTGCATCAAACAAAGTTAGGTTCAAGGATCCAATATTTAACAAAATTGGAACCACGATGGTGATGTCCGTAATTAATTAATTTGTTTAGGGACCCAATTCATAATTTTGATATAACCGCACAGACCAAAATATGTAACTACTCTAAATAAAATATGAATTTCTTAAAGAATAAACTGTTCCATCAATTATTGTGACATAAAAGTCATGTACGGTGTGCCGTGTGGGTCTACCAAATGGATATATATAATACCAACATGGAACAAATAATTTGTTTTGGTCAATTAAAAAGTTATTATGGAATTTTTTTTATTATAGTTAATAATGTCACATTATTGATTCTTATGTATATAAGAAACATCATGCTATTTTTTAATAAAGATAATGACGGAGTATTTTGTCATATCAGTAGGCCTCAATGATTTTCCTCAATTAGAATGAGTTTATCAATTGATGACTAGTTAATCTTATGGAGTTAAAAAAAAAACTTTAAGAAACTGTACTTGTGAAGTGATTACTTGTAAACTTGAAATTTAAAAGATTATGAATTACTAACGAGTACGCAATAGGTAATAAGTGGTTCTTACAACTTTTACCGAAAGTTTTATAATATAATATAGACATAAATAATTTGAATTAAAATCTAACCAATGCTATGTTGCATTTCTTGTGGTTACTAACATATATAAGAGGTTTGACAAGAGAACATCTTGTAATTCCATGATGTGTTCTTTGAGAGGAGAGATGCATGTAAATGGAAGCTCAGGACACTTTGTGGTGCCTACTAATATTACTACTGGAATATTTTATTTGCATCCAACCCAAAGTTTGCCTATGCAGATGGAAAATCTGGACTCTTTATGGTGCCTACTAATATTACTCTGACATTTCATTGAAATCCCAAGCATAGGATTTTGAAATCCTTCATGGTGCATAGTATTTCATGGGATTTCGTAGGATTGTATGTGATAATGTTTTAAAAATGTTAAAAAAATTGTTTTGGAATAATCAATTAACGAAAATGTAATTTAATTATTTTTATAAATATTGGAATCCAATTCCATTCCAAATCCTATAAACCAAACACACCAAAGATTCCAAATCCAAATCCCTCTACGAAATCCAAATCCCTCTACGAAATCCAAATCCCTCAAAACCATTTCATCAAACTAAATGCCCCCTTAAAGTACCCTTACGTAGTGTTCGGTTGGTCGGAATCTGACGGAATTTGAAGAAATTGGATTAGTCAATTCCAATGACCAAATTCCATTTATGCGCTTGGTTCATTCTTTGAGTTTTGGTCAGGAATTCGAATTCTAAATATGGCAAAATGTAAATTCCTTAGGTTCTAGCAAGGAATTCCAATTCCTTCATCCCATTTTAGAAAAATTATTATGCTCTTATATTACTCCATTATATTCAATCTCACCACGAGGGTTGTCAACATCGTCGTTACCATTGATGCCTTCACCCCCACCCCCACCATCTCCTTCACCCACCACTGTTGTCACCAACGTCACCACAATCATCAACACAGCCACTACTACCGTTACACCATCACCACTACCATCTCCCATCCACCACCATTATTATGTTCAACAAACCAAACAAACATATTCAAATTGTTTTGAGAAATTCCATTCCAATTCCTGCCAACCTACCGCATGGTCACACCTGATTAAATTTCATTCCAATTCCTTCAAACCCTAATTACTTTTGACAGATCCCATTATGTGAACCAAACACCCCTTTATGAAAACAAAAGTCAATATGAGATTAACGTTGGTTTAGGCAAGTTTTTAAGTAGATGATGACGATGACTTAAACGGAAATTAGGAATCCGCTGAATTTAAGGTGTTGTTTGGTTCATGGAATCCATTGGATTTCAAAGGAATTGGAATTACCAATTCCTTTCACCAAATTCTAGTTCATATATTTGGTACACATCTTGAAATGAATGGAATTGTTAAATTCCTTTGAATCCGTGGTTGAGGGATTTGATCATTCCTTCGCATAAGTCAAGGAATTGATTTCCATTTATTGGCAAATATAAAGGATTCCATTCATATCCAATTTAACCAACACCACCACCCTCCCGTCACCGCCACCCGTTGCCACCACCTCTGGCGGTGTTGACACAAAACAATGTATCGTATGTGTTAACAAATCCTCCTCTTCGCTACTAACAACGAAAATAAGAGGAAAAAAATATTTCTCCTTGAATCTGACATCTCTCGGCCAACATAATGGTAAAGTGTAACAGAGAAGCATATGTACCCTTTTTAGAGACGAGAATATCCTAAGAATATGCACTTAAGAGACTTTGGATGCAACTTAGTGACAGGAGATCTATTACCAAATATGTTAGGCACAACTACATACAAAGGTTTTATAAGGAAAAAAATCGGAACTGGGACATCACCACCAAGAACTACCGAGGGCATCTATTTATTGGAAATGAAGGTGGATGTGTTAAAAACCATGGAATTGGAAGTATTTTTTATCAAGTCTCGGTAAAACAAAGTATATGAACGTAGAGGTAGATAAACACTGAGGGAAGGTTATGGAAACGTGGGCATGTACGTAGGAAGTATGTTAAGGCATCGGTCAGGAGGGTAGCGAGTATGACGGTCCAGGGGTGAGAAGGAGGGGAGGCCAAAGGAAGAGCTAAAGATGGACATGACAGAGGTAGACATTTCTGAGGATATGATCTCCAATAGGAGCTCTTCGAGACATAGGACTAGGATAATAAACTATGGGTAGGCATATGTATTTAGGGCAAGGAGAGGAGTTTGGATTAGTTATTGGGTGATATGGGGAGAGGGGTAGAATAGTGGCAATTAGGTTAAGAGGGTCTCTTAAGGCCGACAAAAGGTTGTTTTACTTTTTCCTATCTTACATGAATGCAATTGTAACTAGATGTGTGACCCATTTGCTATATGATTAATCCTAAATATTTCTTCCTACAACTACGGTTGTGTAGTTGTCTTGCCTTGTGCTCCTTGTCCCCTTGTTTGTGTAACTTATTTCCCTTTCTATGTCCTATTACATGGTTTGTTTGCTTGTACACACACTATCGCCTACATCTTACTTGCTCGTTTTATTTGTTTGTATTGCATGTCGAGGATCTTCATGGAAACAATCTATCTACCTCTTAGGTATGTTGTGTGCATCTTACCCTCCCTAGACCCTATCTCTAGATTGGTTTAGTTTGGTTTTCAAAACATAGTACATTAATACACTTTTAGCGGTGTTGATAAGGAAGTGAAAGAAGCAAATAAGCATATTAGCCAAGTTGTGGTTGGGAAAGACGTGTATTGTTGCTTGGTATATATGAAAGATGGAGACATTGACAATTAAGGATATTCATCATTATATAAGACATCTACCCTAGTTGTTAAGACTTTTACCTAAATGTTTTATAATATAGCATATATATGAGTAAATCTGAATCAAATCTAACTAATGTCTAACATGCTATGATGCATTTCTTGCGGTTACTAACATAAGAGCTTTGACAATAAGACATCTTGTATATCATGTCTACCGTGATGTATTAATTTAGAGCATAGATGCATGTAAATGGAAGCTCAGAATTCTCTATGGTGCCTACTAAATACTAGATATTGCATTCAACCAAAGTTTTCCTATGCAAGTGGAAACCTTAGTATGTAGGCAAGCTTGTAATTGAAAATAAGGAACCCACAGAACACAAGAGTCCTCTAATGAAAGTTGCTTGTGTATGCTGTAATTTTCTTTCTGAGATAGAAATCACAGGGGTGAACCAAATACGGAGGTTTTATCGGAAAAAAAAAAAAAACTGAAAATGGGACATCACCACCAAGAACAACTGAGACATCTGGTTTATTAGAAAGGAAAGTTTGAGGTCCTGAAAACCAACTTGGAAATGGAAGTTTTTTTTAATTAAGTTGGAATAAAACAGAGTACATGAACGTCATATAAAGCAAAATAAATAGACGAAAGGTTATGGTAATTTGGGCATGTATGTAGGAGGCATATGGCACCCTGAGGAGGGTAATGAGTATGACAGTAGAAGTGGTGAGAAGGAGGTGCAGGCTCAGAAGGGTGTGGGAAGAGCAGTAGAGAAGATGTTATTGAGAACATGACCTCCGATAGGAGATCTTGGAGAAGTAGGAGAAGGATAATAGACGACAAGTAGGGAGGGCGAGTTGTAGGGAATTGAATAAAATACATGAACGTGGGAGGTATAATAAAGACAAGTAGAAGGTTGTGGTGGTTTAGGCGTGTACGTAGGAGGTAGATTATGACACCTGTGAGAAGGGTAAAGAGTTTGACGGYCGAGGGGGTGARAAAAAGGTGTAGGCTAAGAAGGACATGGGATGACTAGTTGAGGATGAACATGAGCCTTAGATATTTGAGAGGACATGAACTTCTAAAGGTAGGGATTTGTAGGTGGGGCGAGGGGAGAGTAGTTGAGAGTAGTTAGAGGGTGAGATGGGGACTAGGGTGGCGAGGTGGCAGTTAGGTTGTCAGGGTCTTATGGCGGTTGGAGGGTTGTTTTACTTTTCCTACCTTACATGTATGTTATTGTATCTATGCGTGTGACTTATTTGTTGTACATTAGTCCCCGATTTTCGTCATGTAAATTGTAGGTATCAATACTGTTTTTGTGCTCCCTCTCCTTTTTTTTGTTTGTGTAACCTATTTCCCTTTCATCTACCGTGTTACATTGTCTAGCTTCTTGTACACACGCTCACACATATGTCTTACTTGCTTGGTATATCTATTTGTTCTGCAATCCAAGAGTATGTTTCACGAAAATAACCGCTCTACTCCTTGGGGTAGAGGTAAGGTCTGTGTACAACTTACCCTCCCTAGACCGTACATCTCTTTGTGGGATTTAATATGTCATTCGGTTTGGTTTTAAAATAGAGTTACAAGAATGCACTTGTACTCTTGTAGCAGTGTGATTGGGATGTGAAAGAAGCAGATAAGCATATTAGCCCAAGTAGTGGTTGGGAAAGACATGTACTGTTGTTTGGTTTGAAAGATGGAGAGGTTGACAATTAAGGATATTCATCATATAAAGGATATAAGAGCAAAGTTAATAAGTATCATTAAAAAGATGTATTGAGGACAACTCTCCATATCATAGGAAGGGGCATATTATTATTACTATTAAAGCCCAAACTACTAAAAACCAATTAAATAATAGGATAATATATATAACTAACACCGAGAGGAATTACTCTTTGATACTGAATACACAGATTATACTGATGTAATTTTGACTAAAATTCCAAATGATTAGGAGTAACAACAGTGGTAGGCAGTAATCACCAACCCCATAGGCTTACACCATCAACAAAAAAAAACCTAACTACTAGAATTCTATGCCACTAACAACTAATTAGGCATTTCATTTTCATTCCCTATCAACAGCACAACACTAAGTTAATCATCAGTAGCACAACAGTATGTTATCCTATTTTCCATGCCTGTGACAATTAGTTAACCAAAGAATCACAAAGTTAATAGAACTGTAAATAGACATGACCAGATAGGCATTTATTCAAAAAATAATCGAGACAGAGATGTACCWGTTCAAATTGGTTATTTTAAGGAGGGAAAAGGCGTAAGGGAACAACACCCAGATTGGTCAGGGTTGGCTTCGACAAACGGATGATGGTCAAACATGGAGATTCGGGTGACAGTTGGGGAGTATCGGCAGAGGAAGTGAGCGACAGAGGAGCGGGCGATGCCGGTACCAATGATGCAGACATGAGCGGTGGTTTGGGGAAGAAGATGAAGAGCGATGGTGGTGCAATGCAATCTCCCCGTCGACAATGGAGGATCCGCAGGGTTTAATTGGTTCAATTCCCAGCAATTACATTTTATTTCTTCTTTCATTAAATAATTATTAAAATTACGTTTTCAATTTGCAAAATTTTCATCTTTGGGATTTAAACGGGCAAATTGAAATGAAAAAATAACTATTTTAACTTGATTTCTGTTTTAATAACATATTTTCAAAACTTTCATTTTAATACATAAGATGTAAAGTTTTAAACATTTAAGTACCCGGGTAACCACTTGAAAACTAAAATTAGATAAAGAAAAGACTGATTTTATATTTAAAAAAATCCACGTCACTAACCACGTCAGTAAATAACACCGAGTTGGATACCACATCACTCGCCACATCAGCATGATAATCGGTTAATACTTCAATCAGTTACTCGGGTATTTAAATGTTTAAAACTTTAAATCTTAAGTACTAAAATGAAAGTTTTGAAAGTACGTTACCCAAAATAGGAATCAAGTTAAAGTACGTTACTTTTTCATGCAATTTGCCCTTTAAATAATTATTAAAATTAATGTACTGAAAATATCATTACTCTTTTTTATAATTTAGATAGTTATACTCCGCATGTGGGTGGACAAAATTTAAGGGCCGTTTACCAAACGCTTACTCGGGTTAGCGTTTACCAAGTAACATTAACTCACCAGATGAATATAATAAAGACCAATAATCTTACCCGGTAAGAACGAGAGAAGAATCAAAAGTTTTACCTAGTAAGTGAGGACGATGACTCTTTCCACGATAAGCGCTTACTGGGTAAATTATTGTATCCTATGTCGTTTTGGTCGATTAAAATCTTACCCAATAAGCACATAATAGTGTTAAATTTTACCGGTAAACAATCCATTAATTTGCCTAGTACTTCAACATTATCAAAACATTTATCATGCACTTTAAGATCATTTAGAAGAGAATTTAACTTGTTGTAGACTTCTGTAAGAGATTCGTTCTTGTGACACACAAACAGTTCATGTTGTCTGATTAGACTTATTTTTTTACTTTGTTTTATTTCAGAATTTCCCCCATACAAAACCATAAGAATGTTCCACATATGTTTTGCAGTGCTAAGATTTATGATAGAGTGATAAACATCATCTGGAAGAGACATTATGATGATGGTCCAAGTTTTGGTATCAACAACAACTTGCTTCTTGTTTTATCCTGCCCATAAGTTTGGAGTCTTGACGATTTGCCTCCCTGGTCTATGAGTTTGCCATTTTCATCTCTATCACTAGGTAGAAAGGTGGCAGAAACATACAATCCATTTTAACATTTAGGATTTGGTTATTAACTCCTTCAAGAAAAAGTGTCATCCGATTTTTCCAAAGAGAAAAATTATCCTTTTCAAAATGAGAAAGTTTGGATAGAGAACCATTATCATTGACTGTGGAAGTCATTTCGGATCTTGTTTATGAGATTAAACAATTTGCTTTGATATCACTTGTTGGTCCCTGGATATGGTGACTTACACAATCACAAGATGTGTTTGTAAAAGAGAGATTGAATACAAACATAACAAATTTTTCACTTTTGATTCTACATTTTATATTAAAATAAAGAATTACGGATTTGTTACGAAAGCTAGGAAGGTAAGACATGTGATCCTAAACAATCTAACCGGTGATAAATTTTCTAACATCTAAAAGAGTGATAAATAAATGTATTCTTTATCTGAATGACTAAGATAGTTTTTCAGATACTGATTTTGCCTAAGAAACTATCACTCATAAGTTTCTTCAAAATGGATGATAAATAGTTTTTCTGATTACACTGTCTCTGATCAATACTTAGTCAAAATAGTTTTAAGCTCGACTCTCTTAAAATCTGTAAACCAAGGGCTTTAATTCCTAAATTAAGTCAAACTCTTTCTAAAGTTCATCTATGGTCATCCCAAAACTAGAATTCGTAAAATTCTCTAAGAGGAACCAACGCAAGGGGCTCTACCCGTTGGACCCGCTAGAGGCATTGCTATTTTATACACAATTTCTTAAAATCTCTTAATTATTGCTTTTTATGTATCATTTACAAGTTATTTCCTAATAAGAAACGAAATGCCAAAAAAATGTTATTTAAGTGAAGATAGATTATACAAAATACTTGGAACATGCATAATTACCAACAAGCAAACATACATGGGTTCTTACCTATTTTTAGTTTCTAACACTTTGAGTAATCGACTATGCTTCCATTGCTTGTCTGAGAAAGGAGAATAGGAACGGGTCGATTATTCAGGGAGGTCAGCGACTGTTACCCTGGGATTTATGCAATCGATTGGATTATATAAGTAGAAAAAGAAATAAATATAGTGATAATTTGATTATTCGTCGTCATAGTAATTCAATTTCACCTGGTCCATGTCGGAGACAACGGACTTTTCCAAACCCAGAAAACAGACGAAATTCTAGGATTCCATTGGATTCTAGTGGAGAAATATATTCTATACCAGTAAAACGATCCGCTGCTACTGTGGGCTCTACACAATCAATTGGATTATATAGATAATCCAAGAACAAACAATTTTGATAGGAAAGATCCCTCTTTTTTTCTCACTCTCCTTATTAGTTAATAATCCAAATCACGTTTTCCGAAAACAAACAAACGTCCAGAAAGCAATTTAAACCATGATCATGAGAAAGTACATAACTATACTCCTGAAAGATTGATTTATCAGAGTTGATTTTTAGTTACGATAAATTGATGAAACTTTCGATTGACTCGTGGGATCCGGGGCCCCCCGGGGGGGGGGGGGGAGTTTGAAAAACTCCTACTTACAAAAAAACCGAAAACCGAATCAATAGTGAATCATTCATATTATATTACCTCTTCCCATCTCTTGAACCATTTGATGCATCACCAACTTTTTTTTTATTAACCTAAATATCCAACCCGCTATACGAGCTGACTAATCATATGGGCGATCACCTGCTTTGTAGATAGCCTAGAGTCACCGCATTCGAACCTCTATGGCCACAAGGGGATTTTTATTCCTCCTTGGATTTGAACCTGAGACCTCCTGGTACTTTTGACCTTTGGAACAAAGCTCAAACCAATCAGGCACCACCTTGTGGTTTGCATCACCAACTTGTTATCATCACCAATTGAAATAAGACATCTATCAACGAGATTCTTGATCCTACATAATGGGATCATATAATTAATCTTGCAAATGTCAAACAGTCCAAAATTACCACCACCACCTTAATAAAGAATTATGCATATTAAGTATCACACATCCATAAGCTTTTGAGTTATTTGTGTATAGTTTTTATTTATATATGTTGATGATAGAATATATGTATACAATTAAAGGGGTTTGGAAATGGAAAACAAACTAAGTACCGTATATAGCTTTCGGTGCGCCGACCACCAACTTAATCGAATATTCTTTAGGGGAATGCTCTAAACAAAGGACGTTTGTCTGATGATAAAACAGATAATAACAAGTAATTACTTACATGGGTTATTATTAAAAGATATGTAACGCGAAATATTTACCACGTACCTACATAACTCGTGATAGAGTTGGACCCCAGAAAGTGCCCGATGTATAGGTGATATTCTCCGGGAGTAGTTGTCTGAAAAGAAGAGAGATCCCGACCAATGATATGATTCCATGACTTGTAATAACCCAACACATCTTCTTCTTCATCTTCATCATACACAAAACTCACCCCACACTCCCTTATACTAAAATCATCATCATCATCATACTCCTTTAACATGGAAATAGTAATATGGTCACCATTTCCCATCTCATTCTTCCCAAACATCCAATGGCTTAAATATGTTATACCCTCTCCAGTTTCCTTAAAGAACACAGGACAAGTATATATCCAGCTGCGCGTCTGTGCTATATTACTAATCTTGATATCTACGAAGGAATAGATACTGATCTTATTTCGAACCACAAGCACGAAGCAGATATTGAGTCCTCTAAGGTTGTTAGGAGATGATGGGATGGTAAATGATATTGATGGTCCCTTGCTTCTTTTACTAATCCAGTTCGGAATCTCCTTCCCAACATAAAATGTGCTGAATATTCCAAATCCATACAGCATCTGCCTAATACAAGTTAATGAGCATGTACATATTAACACATAGATAAATAGATAGTTATTGAGAGCTAACCTTGACTTTAGATCCTATAGGCTGAATTTCGGTGAAGTCTAAATTAGTCCACCCCAAACTATGTAATAACGCTTCCTCAACATCTGCCATATCTTCCTCTTTGAACATGCCTTCAATGAAAGACCCCGCACCTCGCATCCCACTTAACTTGATTGGAGACATATCTTGATCGAATACAACTTTCCCCAACTTACGCGCGACACTGAATATCAAGTGTTTTAGTGTACGTGGAGGATGCTCTATTGTCGTCAGTCTAGCACAATCCTCAATACTAAGTTTCTCAAGCTTATGAAGGGTTCTCACACAACTGGGCATGGAAACGATATCATTACCATCTAAATATAACTCCTTCAATATGAATAGGCTACTAAAGTCCATTGGAAAAGATTCGTTGGACAAATGATTATGTTGAAGTGACAAGCATACTAACGAGCTTGGTAAATAAATCCCAGAGGACTTGAAATCTCTCGGTATAACCTCCACAATGGCAGAGGAAGAGGTTTGCGAGTGTATGACAATGTTGTTAGCCTTGACCATTTCTGGTAACTCCAGATAACTCATCTCGATCGGAAATTCATTGAGATTACAACCATCTAAGTTCAGTATTTTGACATTCTTTACCTTGCCTATCGTTCTTACAAGCTTCCTTGCTTCATTGCAATAACTCAGATCAATGAGCTCAAGTCCATCACATTGCTCAATTGACTCACAAATCTCAATCAAACTTGTACAATTTGAAAGTATTAACCTCTTAAGTGCGGAGAATTCGGAAAAGCCACCAAGACTACGAAGCTGTTCACAGTAACTTAGATTGAGAATCTTTAATGATCTAAGCGAGGGGTTTTCTTTTGAGCCCAATCCAGTTAACTGATGAAAACAGAAATGACAAGGTAAAATAACTATTGAATTGCATTAACCGAACATTGAAGAATAACATGAAAATTTAAAGTAAATGCTTCAAATTTCTTACCTTTTGCCTATTCTCCAGTATGGGGAGTTCCAAAAGGCCACAGAGACTACACAGTTGTTCACAGATAGAGCCCAATCCAGTCAACTGTTGAAAATGGAGATAAGGTAAAATAATTAGTGAATTGCGTTAACGCAACATGAAAGAATAATAAGAATTGAAGTAGATTCTTCACATTTCTTACCTTTCGCCTGTTCTCCAGTTGTTGCGAGTCACTGTAAGACATGTCAAAAGATACCAGCTTGCTATAAGACATGTCAAGAACAACCAGATTCTCCAATTGTAAATCTGGAGGAATATACTCTAAAGGGAACCCATGCATACACAACCATCTTAAGTCTTGTGGAAAATTCTTATAGGACCCCTTGAGTTGATGCACATGATTGAGTTGTAGTAGCAATATATTATCCATCTTACTGAACGCATCAGTTTCCAACTCATGTAACTTGTCTTTCTCAAGCATTCTCATGTCAAGTGCAAGGCCTTGAAGGTTCCTCTTACACTGTGAAGAAAGGAAATGCAAAATTTTAAAACTAATATGTTATATAACATGAAATACTTTGAACATGCATAATTACTAACAAGCAAACATACATGCATTTTACCTTTTTTTGTTTCAACACTTTGAATGACTCTTTATGACACCATAATCGACTTCGCTCCTCTGGCCTGTTTGGTGATTCTTGGTGTACTATGTCTCTTCCCATGTCTTGAAGCAATTGATGCATCATCAACTTGTTATCTTGACTAATCCAAAGAAGGCATCTATCAATGAGATTCTCGATCCCGAGTACTGTGTGGAACCCACATGCCTTTAATATTGTTTCGGTTGATTCTCTACCTTCTCCAACGAAAAAACAAGCAATGTGCTTAAACAGTTCCTTATCTTCTGTAGATGGCAAAGAGTCAAAGCTCATTTGCAAGACGTTTTTAATACATGAATCAGGTTCTTCCTTTAGCCTTTTTATGCAATCCTTCCATCTAGCTACATCTCTATTCCATAGAGACCTGCCCAGAACTTTAAGAGCCAATGGATGTCCCCCACAATACTTAACAAGTGTATCTGAAACTTCTTCATAACCTTCCTTTGGACTGTTGCGCTTGAATGCCCACGAACTTAAAAGTCGTAGTGAATTATAATCATCTAAGCCTTGAAGTAAGTGCTTTGTATGCTTGGGTCGAACTATCTGGTTGAATAGCTCACATTTTTCTGTCAACGAGGCATCCTTGGTTGTTATTATGATTTTGCTTCCAGGATGAAAACCTTTCTTTCCAAGTAATGCATCCAAATGGTCGAGACTATCAACATCATCAAGAACTAGAAACACCTTTGTACGAGCTATTGCATTCTCAATCTGAGAGATGTATGTGGAAATATGATAAACTTGAATTGAACTTGTTTTTGAAATGTCATGACAAATTTGTTTTTTGCAAATCAAGCAAACCACTAGATTTTTCTGCACATTTTCTACTAATATCTGCAATAAAGCTACTTCTTTGGAATTCATGACCGTGTAACCTAAAGACATATTCGGCCAACGAAGTCTTCCCGGTCCCACCCATTCCCATAATTGTGAGGATATCAGCAGTATGAGATGATCCATCTTTTAACCAAGATATAATGAATCCAATGTCGTAATCCATGCCGATAAGGAGTGGCAGAGTACTACATAAGGGTACACCTAATTTACGATGGATGCTGGTAACAATTTCATCAATCAACTCTGTCTCTTTCCTGCAAATTGATTTCAAAGAGAAATATAGTATACACACACAAACACACACATACATATATATATGTAGGTTTGGAATCACGTGAGACCGGCCTGTTTTCGTGAGACCGAGACCAGCTTTTTACACTTGAAAATTCACAGCAAAATGCTGTGAAGGTAACCTTCAAAGTGTTTTTGCTGTGAAGGTTCGACCTTCAGTGTTTTTGCTGTAAAGTTTCAAATGTAAAAATGTGTTCTCACGATCTCACGAAAACAGCATGGTCTCAGCTGAACCCAACCCTGTATATGTATATGTATATGTATATGTATATGTATATGTATATGTATATGTATATGTATATGTATATGTATATGTATATGTATACATACACATATAT